AAAAACGAGGAGTTAGGACAGCTACGAGAAAAGGTGGCAATCTCAGAAAAAAAGGTTTATAGTTGGGAAGTTTACCCGAATTTGACTGTTTATAGGAAGAACAGCCAAATCGAAGTGCTATGTGGTAAATTGCCTCCACATCTTGCAATATGCGTGAGGAATTGCCTTAGGAATACCCCCCGAACTCCTAAAGGGTATAGGTTTGATAGGGAGTTGAAAACATTAGCTCGTGCAGTAAAATTCCTGTCACCTATTGCTTTCAGATATTTAAAGCCCGTTTTCAACTGACCTTCCCGAAAAACCATGGAACTATTTGTTCAAGGTTAGCCACGCAACCCTGGATGCAATTATAGCAGCATTAAGGCTCTGGAGCTGAGAATCCGTGGTTTCAGAGATGCACAGAAATATGTCTACATCTCTTGCGACAAAATGTCTTTAAAAGTCCATGTACAATACGAAATGAATAGGGACTCAATAATAGGACTATGGAGACGAAAATCACACATCCAGAGTTGCTTCAAGTGTCTTAACACTTTTCGTCCAAGGCTTTGGTGGGGAGTCTTGAACGTATCCCTTAGCGTATTATTTTGTGCACAAATAGTTCAAAGGAGATGTTTTGAAAAAATATATTTTCAAAGCCATAGGCCAGCTCCAGGGTAGTGGACTTTATCCCTGCCAAATGGCAACCGATCAAGAGTAGAATTTCGTTAATTTTTCGATAGTTGTAGGAGTTTCCAGAGAAAGGCCCTTCTTCAAAGTCAATCGCGAGGAAATCTTATATGTTTTTTTGGTTCACCGTATCTCCTCAAAAGTACTAGAAACTGTTTAGAAAACAAGAAAAATAAAGTAACTTTTTAAGGCCGCCCTGTAGATTGGATGGAGTTTCTCTATGAACAAGGGTCTCAATATGATATTTCATGTACCCACAAACTTACCTCGGCACATATTAGACCTAAAACCTTTGATAAAATGAGCATGCATTTAGCATCGCAGGTCTTTAGTAACTCTGTGGCAAGCGCAATGTTCGCTATCTATAGCTCCGGACTTTTAAATAGTTCAAGATCCCCATCCTTTTTTAACACTGCCGAATTTGTCATTTTCTTTGACAAATTATTTAATATTTTTAATAGCATATACTTTGGGGATGTAGAAAATTTCAAACAACCATTTCAAGCTACTGTAGATCAACATACTTTTCTTGACGAAGCCGAATAGTTATTGAATTTCATTAAAGTTTACGCAACTTAGGTCGCGATAATACCAATACGTATAGTTTTATTAAAGGTTGCCTCCTAAATATTAGTAGTTTACGTCGTTTGTGGCGATTCTTGTCACATAAGGAATACACTTTTTTATTGACACGTAAATTATGCCAAGACAAAATTGAAATTTTTGTTGGTCATATTCGTAGAGGGGGTCCATTGATGTGAGAATAACTCCGCAGCGTTTCTCATATCTCTTTAGGCAAGCCTGGGGTATAGGGCATATCAGATGCGTAGTAAAGGGAACCGCGAACTCTTGCCTGAAGATAAGTGGGAATCATTTTCTAATAGCACCCTTATTACAGCTTGTGACGACGTTTTAGTTAGAGATACTTCCTGTCAAATATTTCAAGGCTTATCTAGGCCTCGTTTATGCTCTTTTTTAAGATGTACAAATCGATATTTCGGTTGATATTGATGAAAGTAGTTTTCTTCGTCAAAGCGCTTTTGTCTACTTCTGTGGTTACATGTATTTTAAATATTTCAAGCATCATAATTACTTAATGCCATTAACAAGGTTCGAAGATGGAATTACTGAAAAATATTTCTTCTGCACTATGGAGAAGCAATTTAGTAATAAACAGGGAACGGATTTTTAGGACCTAAAAACCTATAAAAAAGGCAAAAACAAATAACGAAATAGGCTGGAAAAGGCAAAATAAAATAGCGAAAAAGGCAGGAAAAGGCAATAGGTATTGCAAAAAAGGCAAAAAAAGGCAAAACAAAATAGCGAAAAAGGCAAGAAAAGGCACTAGGTATTGCAAAACAAGCAAAATAAGGCACTAAAAAAAGGCAGAAAATACGAAGAACAATCAAAAAATACATTTATTTTAGAAATGATTATATTACAAGTAAAAAGAGAAAAACTATGAACTAGTTTCATTATATGAAAAATTTGTACTTTGAATCTTTGACTTTAATCTGTATAGTTGTAGTAACACTGAACCACAAGATGTATTTTGAAGTTTTCTGGCAGCATTTTCATTCGATTTTTGCGAAGAAAGGCCTTGAATGTACTAAATGTGCGCTCGACGTAAGTTGATACAAGTGGAACGTTTGAAACGTTCATATTATCAGGAATAAGGGCGTTTTCCTCGCCCTTTACAATTTTATCCCCACCCCTTATTATCTCCAAGCCTACGTGAGCTGAGAAAACTGCTTTGAATTTTTCCAACACCAATTTGGCAAGAGCCGCATGGGCATGTGTATATTATTTTAATCTTAAAAAAAAAATTGGTAATG